GGGGGGGGAAGTGGACAAATTATTTTTTCCCCCTCCAACACTAATTTAAAAATAAAAGGGATTAAAAAAGTTTATTCAAATTGCGTTTGACATTACAAAAATAAAAGCATAATAATGCAAAGAAATCCCATTCAGTGGGAGCCTGCTCTGAAATTTAATTAAAACCCAAAAACACATTTAATTTATCTGGTGTGGTCTTTTAATGGATATCATGACTTGTGTGCTTGAATGTTGGGACCCTTATTCTTTTCATATTGGCTTCATGCTTCTTGGCATACAAGAATAATTAATGCCATTAAGTGAAAATCTGAAATTTTTTTGGTTAGAATTGTAGCTTCTTCATTTTCTTTTCTTTCTTGTTTAAACTTATAATACACTTCCTGTGTATTCTTTTTTGATTAATGAAATTTCCTGATTATCTATAAAAAAAAAAAAAAAAAGAATTGTAGCTTCTTGTGTTTATAGATTGCCAAAATACTGTGGTGGGATGTACACTGATCAAATGATCAAGTTCATATTTAGACATGAATATTTGATAACGAGCTTAGAAGATATGTCAGTAACGTGCGTCTAATAGTTCCTTATTGGAATTCTATCCAGGAACTCAATCTTTCTGAAGCTGCTGTAAATAGATTACAGACCGTAGGATTGAGATTCTGTGGAACTGCAGATCATGCACTTCCCAGATTAAGAGGTGCCCTCCCTGCTGGTAAGTTGCCCTGATTTTCTTTTACTTGTTATTTTACATATTATTTCCTTGGTGCTTGTGAAGAGAGAATTTATTTGTGGTTAATGCAGATAAATCAACACACAAGGCACTTGATGAGTTGTCAGAGCTTTTAAACTATTTAAGAGTTTGGAGGATTGATAAACACTTATATGTTGATGCCCTTATGCCGCCAACTGAAAGTTACCACAGGAACTTGTATTTTCAGGTACCACAATAGTTCTCATCTGTGTATTCCTTTCAACCGAGGCCTTATTTACTGCAAATAGTAATAGTTGTGAATATGAAGGCAGATGAACTTCTCATTTTAGTTTCTCGAATTCAATTTAGGATCAAGCAAACCTGTAACGATGTCTAATTTTTATCTAGGTTTATGTATGTATGAGCAACTAGTAAAACTAACTTATGAACATAACAATTTAACAACGAACAATTGTAGAAGAAAAGGAACGAGAAAGAAAAAGGGGTTTCAAGAAGAAGAAGAATTCAGGGCAAGAGAAAATCAATTTATTTCATATATTCAAGGGTACCTATTACAATGAATAAGCCCACTTTTATAGAGTAAATAATCTAAAATCAAAAGAACTTATAATAAACTAGAAATTTTATTGAAACTAATCTAATATAATCTAAACAAACATAATTTGAATTGAACTCTATTTTAAAATCATATCTAAATTCCATTTTTATCCCCATCAAAAACAATAACAATAAGGGAAGAGGGCAACGAATATCCACAATGGGCAGAGGCTGCTTTCTACATAAATCATATCAATATAATAAAAGGTTAGCCGAAGTAAAGAAAAGATGAATTTTATTTATACCTGACTATAATACATCTCCTGACCGGGCATACAGTAACTACTTTTTCATAAAGAATCGATCCAAATAGGCATGTGGTGGCACATAGTTTTGTTTTTATTTTAAGTTTGATTTTTCCCTCGAGAATGGTAGCTTAGTATATGCATTTTAAAACAGATCACAAAATATTTTATATGCTATATTACTTCGTGAATGGTTATTCATTCTCTTTCTCGCAGATATATTTAAGAAAGGATAACAGTACCGTATCACTTATGGAAGGAACGCTCCTTGCTGTTGGTGGTCGTTATGATTACTTGGTTCACCATATGTCAGATTCTGAACATGTAGGTGTTAGATTTGACTATTCCATTTCTATTTATGTTCTTGTGTAAGATCGTAGGGTCACGACTAAATAGCAAAGTGCATGCATGTATATGTTCAAGCTGGTGATTCCCTTTTTATATTTGTCTAGTTGTGGTTAAGAATGTAACCATGACTTTCAGCTTTTAGGGTTAGATTCTGGCCATGCTGTACATCAATGGCTTAGGGTACTTTAATTATTGCAACACAGATTCCATAAAGTTAATCAAGTTCACAATCATTTTTCTGAAATTGTAAAAATGTTGGTTAATCATCAGTCTGTCCATTCGAAGGAGTACGTAGCAAGGTTCATGGATATGCCATAACAAGGCTTTTCAGAGGAAAAGATTCTTGTAGAGACTATTGATTAATTTTTTCTCTTATATTGTGCACACACGTCACACTCAACATAGTAGGCAACACCTAATCTCTGAAATCTAACACGCTCATTTTCTGTCATTTAACATCATAATTTCAAAATTTACTATTTCAGTTATTGTTGCCAAATAAGAGAGTTAATGCATATCTATTGTTGTAATAATAAACACATAAAAGCAGTGTATACATTTTATGACTGTCAGTGTTGCTTTGATGTTCCCAGAAATTAAATCCTCCAGGTGCAGTTGGGACTAGTCTTGCTCTAGAGACAATTTTGATGCATTCTTCTGTAGATATTAAGCCTCACAGGTACTCTCTCTCTCTCTCTCTCTCTCTCTCTGCATGTGTGTGCACGCATGCATCTTGTGAGTATAGTAGGATCCAACATAATTGTATATAAATATCTTTCTTCATCGACTGCTCTCTCTTCAACTCGTGCTTCTAAGTTTGGTGTTACAAACATGTGCAGAAATGATGTGGGCATTAACGTCCTTGTTTGTTCAAGAGGAGGAGGTGGCTTACTAGTGGAGCGCATGGAACTAGTGGCTGAGCTATGGGAGGAGAATATCAAGGTCAGTGATATCATTCTGACGTAGGTGTTTTGTGATGTCCAAATAGGAATCTAAACTTACACGGCATCCATTCAATCAGGCGGAGCTCGTCCCATTATGTGATCCAAGCCTTACAGAACAGTATGAATATGCAAGTGAGCATGATATCAAATGTCTTGTTATTATTGACACTGGTGTATCTCAAAAAGGTTCAGTTAAGGTAGGAGCAGTAACCTTATTGGGCTATTCACATTTATGTTCTTAGTGCATGTTTTTCAAAGCTTATAATTGCTTATAAACTGGTCAAACTCTATTTTTATTCACAAGTTTCATAGGACCAATAAATTTTACCAATTATAAGTTATGTTCATTTGAACCGAATCCATATAACTTTATTGGACCTATGAGCAGGTCCGTCATCTTGAGCTCAAAAAAGAAAAAGAGATCGAGAGGATAATCCTCGTCAAATTTCTATTGGATGCAATGGAAACTCAATTTAGAAATCCATCCATCTGGAACTAGCTCACGTCGCTCAAAACCCTCACTTCTTCAGGTTTGCTTTTGGATCAATTCTTTCGAGCCAGTGCATGTATGGGAAATGTGACTAAATTGTACTGTGAGCGGGTCAAGCATACTTTTTACCTACTTAAATATCCACACATGTTCCATAAGACCCACAACTTATAATATCTTAAATTTTAATTTAGTTACTTCTTAAGCATGCACTGGAATTCCATTGGAAGTTAGTTTGTTCAGATTGACATAAAGTTTCCTGGTATTTAAATACAAGTATCCAATGCTCCGCCAACGCGCCTGCAGGTTATAACCATCATCCCCGGACGAAGTTGTATATTAGTCTTCCAGCACATTTCGGGATATCAAGATAACGAAGGTTACATTTGTACAGCTTCTTGTTTAGATAGGTTTCTTGTCGAACTTGTAGATATTACAAAGTATTAATCCTCACAACGAAACAGGGAAATAAACTAGTTTTTCTCTTCTAGTTTGAAAGGTTTTACTATTCGTAGCAAAAGTGCACCATTTTTGACTTGGGAAGAATTTCAGTTTTTAAGTTGTTTTCTTTAATATAACATTTGTAGGATTTATGTTCTCTGATAACTTCTATATGAACCAATCATGTAAGGCTGGACATGGCTGAATCGAACCAAAATTTTCGGGTATTTAGTAAGTGGAATCGTCGGGTCTAAATTTAATTATGGAACTATTTGGGTTCGGTTCTATTAGGTTCGATTCGATTCTATTCGGTTCTCGAGTTTCCTACAATAATTAATTTTTTTATACTTATAATAACGCTACATTAGTTCGACTATGACATGTTTAACATTAACTCTTACAAAATAATATAGTCCAATTTAGTGAATCTTTTGCGCATCTCTTTGTTGAGTTCTTCATAATTTTGACTGTTAAAATCACAAGAGGAAGATAGTCAGTTCATAATAATAGAATGACAAAAACGACACTACGGTAGAATAAGAGATTTTGGTAAAATTTAGGTCAATTTGATTAAATTGGCTGGCTGAAAATTAGAAATAGTAAAATCATATTTTATGTTTTGAGCTAAATTAATTAATTAACAAATTCATTTAGAAAAGAATAAAATAATTTGACTTATTTAAAAAAAGAATAAAAAAAAATTAGAGAGATTGAGTTCTTATTTGGTTCTTCGGTTCTAGATTGAGAATCGAACCGAATCGAACTGAGCCTATTAGTTCTCAGTCTAGAACCGAGAACAAAATCAAACCCGTCGGTTCTCGATTCAAATACTCATTCGAGTATTTAACTTAAGAAAAATTGCTCAGTTCGATTCGATTCGGGTTCAAATCGTTCAGGAGTTTTGTCCAGCCCTACTATCATGAATGTGTAGCCATGTAAAAATGGAATAAATTTTTATAGTAGCGGATTATTAAACTAATATGTCCCCCTCGCGTCGAATGTTTAATATTATATATTCTCCATTTCACAATTTAAGGTGGATTGACGATAGGGATCGAGTTAGGGGAGCATTTTTTTTTTTTAACCTATGAAATACATAAATGGGCAAGCCTAGGGCGGACCCTTCTCTCTGCCCTTGGTCGACAACTATGAATTAAAATATTACTGCGAGCTAAATTCTATCATCACCTCTACCCATATCAACAAGTATAGTCACAATGTCTAATGACCTCTTCTCCCGTTTTAAACAACCCTCTCGATTTTCAATTAGTAGTCACACGCTTTTATTATTTTATACATCACAATATAAAAGTGAGATATCTAAAGCAAAACAAATGATGGTAAAGTTCATATAATTTTGGAAAATTGAATTAGTTTACGCGTGGAATCAGTTACCTTAGAGCATTACTTTTATTGATACTAGTTAGGCGCACGTGCAATGCACGTGTCGTAGTTTAGTTGGCTACTTAATAGCGTGGAATGATTTTTGGTTACAAACATGGTGGAAATGAGAGTAGATTTTATACTCTCTATATTATACTGGAATTTTGTTTATTCCACGCTGATGCTTAAGATTAGCGAAATCTTAATGAATGAAATGGTGCAATCACTATATTATCTTTTGCTGCTGTTCTTTTGTCCAAGTGTGTCTTGTCTTTACCACGAATCATTTCCTTAATTAGCAATAATTGTAGTTTTGCAAATGTAACACATTCAAATAGGAAATCTTCAAACTTACTCAATTTGATAAAATCCATGGACATTTTTTGTGGACATTATGTGCTTGTTCCAATAGCCCCTTAGAGGAAGGGCAAGAAAGTGCGAGTCAAATAGGTGTATTAGAGGTTTGGGCTCCATAAGGATTTGGTGATGTACATATTTCACACGACATGCTCAAATAAATTATGTTATACTATTGTATCACATATAAAAAGAGTTGTAGTAGAAATTGTTCTCTCCATATTTTTGTAATTGCTTGAAAAGTGTAAGCTCTCTAAAAGAGAATAAAAAGTCGAATCTGTAATTTTTCAAGCGTAAACAAAAATGTGATTCATGAAATGGAGGTTAAACTTTATGGTAGAATACTCACAAGATTCGAATTTAGATAAAGTTCTTATCATATATCAGATAAAAAGATGTGAATCTTTTATTAAAATAAATTTTTTAGAAGTATCTTATTTATTGGTATGATACAAACCAAGACAAAAAGAACAATTATACATTGAATAAGAAATCAAACCAAGACAGAGCTACACTTGTATCAAAAGCAAACCAAAGGAAAAATGAAGTAAAGAGTTTGTTTTATCCAATCTGCTTAGCTACCCCTATTACATATCTGATATACACTTAAACTGTATGGTATAAGCGTAAAGCTCTTAAAAATCGCCCCTCGAAAGTTCGGATTTCTCCATCTCCTTTGGAAGTTAAGAAACTTGATGCCATAGGCAAACATAAAGAAAAAGAGAAGCACCGAACAAACATGGGAGAAAACCACTGGTATAACGAAGTCATGATCATAACCCAAGTAGTCCTTAAGGAAATCAGTAATCCTTACTCTACCGTGTCTCCGGTAAGTTTAAGTTCACCAGTCTAATCGCTTATCTGAGATACAAAAATATCGTAGATTGTCCAGGCAACAGGAGAAGCCCAGCAGTACCACCTTCAACAAATTGGGATAAGCTGCAAGAATTTGTACACCAGGTTAGTAGTAAATTATTGAAATAGCTAGTTTTTATAATCTTAAAATTTGTTTCGTGTGGTGGAAATCAGAATACGTACTAGACGGGGGATGTGGAAACCGGAGAATAAGTTCTAGAAGTTGAGAAAGGACATAACAATGGCAGCAATTTGGAAGCCAGGAGTCAATGCAACAACCATCATACCGCACGTTGAGAAGTAGGTGAAACACATGAATATGAAGTAGTAGAAATAGAACTTTTCTCCAGTCCAGTGGTATCCAATCATGGAGTATAGAAGTAGAGAGTTAAACAAAGGTCTAAATTGCAACATAGATAGTCTCTATAGCCGTCTATAAACAGTGAAAACAAGTTAAAATTGCAAGATAAGTAATAAGATTTGAGTGATTAGTTAAAAATTAACTTTAAAACCCGTAGTGAGATTTTCTATTTCATACCTGAGCAAATGCATACTGCAACTCTGAGTACATCCCTGCGGCTCTTTCACGGTAGAATACTGTCCTTTCAATTGCTACGACAGATTGAACTGCAGAAGCATTAGTGGCTCCCAAGAGAAGAACAACAGCACAAGTAGCTCCCAACAGATTGAGCAAGTCTTGTTGTCTATTTCTGTTTGAAGTACACAAAGAGTTAGATTTGAGCTCTTTGTTAGGTTATATATATATAAACAGTTTAAAGATGTTTAGACCGACTACTTTCTTTAGAGTTCAATGACTAAGCAAGCTTCAAAGAAGGAAATGTTGGACTTACATTTGATCTCCCCTTTGCCAAAAGATGATGCCAAATAAAATTCTAATTATAACAGTTGTGAAGAACCTAATTGCATTGTACTATGAGTTCCTCCAGTATGATCAATGTTGTTTCCAGAAGCAAGCCTTGCACTGAATCAAGAAGGGCTGGGAATATTGTGTAGGGAAGTAGAGATCCTTCAAGCCTGGTGCCGGAGTGCTAAGTTCCTTTATTAAATCTTGGTTCCTCCTGAAATTGAAAAATTAAGAAAATGGTCAACAGTTTGTACAACATTAGACAACATTAAGGAAGAAAAACTGTACCATCATGTCTAATACTATATACTATGTCGTATGATATTGTGACATCTATCACTCACTCGTAAAGATCATAATTGGCATAATTTTTTGCAAAATCAACATCAAGTTGAGCTTCTGCAGCACTGTAGCTGACGTCTAACATCCAAGTCGTTGGATTGTAACCCTTCTTGATATTGGGAACTCGAGGTACATCCTGCATGATTAAATGGAAGAAATCATATATCAACTTACTGGTTAAAGGATAATAAAACTTTATCAGCTTGTGAATATTCGAGTTTTGACTAAATAAAACAGCAGCAAACTCAAATGCGAGAGCAAAACTTACCTCAAAATATTCGACAAGCTTATGGGATCGGAGACCAAGACGTCCAGCATAAATAACTTGTCCTCCTCTCTTTATCAACGGTAGTTGCAATGAGAAATCAATGTACGTATGTTAAATAAAATGCAGCTTCACAAAGGTCGAGGATTTAACTATTGAGACTATTTACAAGCGAAATATACCTCATCAAAAGCTTCAAATATGTCGTACAAGCGAAATATACCTCATCAAAAGCGCGAAATATGTCGATGCTAGGCTAGTTAATAGTGCAGAAATCGAAACCTGCAGGTGATAACCTGAACGTTACAAAGTCCCACGAATACCAAAGGAACCATAAGACATTGAATATATTAGGAAAATATAAAATAAGCAGGAAAAATGGGGGAAAAAACTACCTTTCTTTCTATAGGAGGACTTTCAGAATTTTTTTATTCGACTCTCTCTTACTACAAGAGGAAGTAACACACATAAGACAAAATTTTAGAATTAGATTGTATAGTCTAACAAAAAATAGTAGATCTAAAGAAATTGGAAGAACTAAACACACTAACGAAAAATTAAAGGTGTAACCTCGAGCAGAATATGAAAAGAAATATAATATTCGACAATGGAGTTGAAGAAACCGGAAGAACCAAACACCAAAAAAATAAAAATAAAATTAAAGGTGTAAAAATTGCTAAATACTGAGAAATGAAAAGACTCCCACTCCATATCCTGTTGCCAATCTTGTAATGTCTAGAGATAGAGATCCTTGTATTCGTTTTATGTATTCTTATTCATTCATTTGTGACTACAACAAAATAAATTGGCATTAAGATTAACATATAGAAATACTTTTGGTTTGTAAGGGATGGAAGCAGTAAATTTCAAGCTAACAAACATAGATAGTGAAAGACAAAAATTTGTAAACTTACTTGTTGCAGCTTCTAAACAATTCTGATGTACAACATTATTTGTATGACCTTCAACTTCAAGCCCAAGGCGTCCAACATTCTCTACAGTTAAAAATTTTGGTAAAAAAATTAGTCAAAACATTTTATCACATAGATTTTAAAAAATTAAATATAATGACTCTATGAAAAGATTTTTAGTAGATGTATCGAATTCACACATAGACTGTAGGAAAGGAAATAACGCGTACCTATTTCAGATGCGTTACAGCTAAATTCTGCAGATGGATTAGTTATAGTGGAATTCAATGGAAGAGCTATACACAACATCAACGAGAAGAAAATAAGCAAAGCTATCTACATCAATTACATGCTATTTGGAATCCTTTGGATATTTAAGTTAAACTTCTTGGTTGAGACTTGATCGCGTGCAACTTCCTTACGTACGATTTAAAATTTAGAGTTTCTTTATCTTTCAATTTAATCTAGCCTGCTGGGAAAGGTACTTGCAAATTTGTAATTGACACAAACAACAATTTTCGAAAATTGTCCCCAAACTTGTGTGAATTATTAACTGCTTGGTTTCTGTTTATAAGGTTTTCCCATCTTTCTTTCTTGGGTGGCAGGAGGCTGATAGTAGAAGATTTATTCCAAGACAAGAATTCAAGAATCCCTTAACCAAAATCAAGGAATTATTCATATGTTGTTGCGAAGAAGAAAAAGCTTTATTTTTTTTTTAATTGTACAACAAACGATCAAAAAAATCGCAGGATTCAACTCTTGGGCTTAGGAATTCCTATATAACTTAAGCGAAACAGTAAAAGCTTTTTCAACTATACCTCTTACTACTGGACACTTACCTAGCCAACGCTTAG